AAGGAAGGAGGGTGGGGGAGGGGGAGAGAAACATCAATTGGTTGCCTCCCTTATGCACCCTGACCAGGGATCAAACCTGCAACCTTTTTGGTATATGAGACGACACTCCAACGAACTGAGCCACCCAGCCAAGGCTGGGGTCTACTATTTTGGATCAGTTTTCCTCCCTTTCACTTTACTTTTTATTTATTTATTTTTTTAAAATATATCTTTATTGATTTCAGAGAGAGGACAGGAGAGGGAGAGATAGAAACATCAGTGATGAGAGAGTCATTGATCAAGCCCGCAACCCCGGCATGTGCCCTGACCGGGAATCGAACCCCCATCACCTGGATCCTAGGTTGACACTCAACCGCTGAGCCACGCCCAGCTGGGCTCTCCCTTCCACTTTAAATAGCAGTCTTATTCTTATACTTCATTATGTCTCAGTTTAAAGTAAATGGGCAGAAAGTGCCCAAGCCCCCTTCCTTAAAACAAACACATATACACACACACACACACAAATATGAAAGGAAAGGAGGGTGTGGGGTGGGAGGTGGGGGAGGCAAAGACTGAAAATCAAATACCAATGATAAGAAACATATATCAGCAAGTCACGACCTAAATGGCTCTTTGTATTTTAAACAGCCCTTTTAAAGGTTTGGGGAAAATTAGCCAATAGGGTATAAAAAACAGCTTCTCCCAATTATAAGGGTAGAGCCTTAACTGAACTGCCAAACACTAAGACAAAAAACTGGCTCCAAGCTACAAATATTTCCAAATTATGTTCTATTAGCAGAGTCCTCAACTGACCTCAATGAAAGGCAACCCACAATTTCCATACTTAAAAAATACAGAAAGCCACTCCATAACTCACAAATATTAAGTAATGATTATTTGCATAGCCTACTCTCAAGTCTAAGGGAAGAGGGAGGAAGGGAATTAGAAAATTAGTCTAACTGATATCTTGATGCATTCTTTGACCTTTATTTCCAATTTTTTCTTCCATTACAACTAATGATCAAAATATCTATTTTGCCCAAGCCCCTGCCTAGTCTTGGGGGGAAAAAATTTAACTGCAAAAAAATGTCCAAAACAAACAAACAAAAAAGCCAGAAAGTGGGATGAAAAAATAAATAGATTATTAGCTCAGCTCCCCAATGATAGATGGTCATCTTTATTCTCAGTGTTTTGGAACATGCATTATGATGGTATTAGATTTATTATAAGGCATTACAAAATGTATGGCAATAGATCTTAGGCTGTTTCATGACCCAGATTCCTTTATAGCTCTATTGAAAGCCATAGATCTACACCCCATAAAAATAAATACATCCATGTGTACACAAAATATTGCATATAATCTTAGTGGTTTCAAAACCGTTCCTAGGGGGTTTGCTGGAACCTAAATTAAGAAAATCTACACTGTGCCCTACATCACAAGGAACTTGTTTCTCGCCATAAAATATTTGAATCACAAACATCAGGGAAGAAGCCAGACCTCATCACAGCCTAATTACCTAAAAGCCAAGATAACTGAGGGCAGAGCTGTGAAGTAAGTACATGGCAGTGAGATAAACAACACGAACTGAAGTTTTATTGAGGTCATAAACGTTATATGAACATGTAGCTGAATTCTGTATATGGGGCACAGTCATTCTTGGAGGATGATTCCTGCTATAAAATAACCATGTGCTATGTAAACTGTTTTGCTTTAAACACAATTGTGAGTCTAGAAAGGGGTTTTTCTATTAATAAAGGACATTTTCAACAGTCACTAGTAAGCCTTTCCTGAGTGCTAAAAATTATTACCTTATTTGATTCAGCCAGATCACAATAGATTGGGAACTTATTGTACTTTATTATTAGTAATAATTATGCATTAAATCTCATTAGTCTTTGGCTCTCCTATCACGATAGAGTTTTAAATTTTGCTAAACCATCATGTAAAACTGAGACTTTACTGAAATTAAACTTATTGTGACCCTTTAAAAGAGTAGTTTTATTTCATTTTGGATAATTGGCTCCAACAGTTTTCAGAAGTATACTGGACCAAATTTAATGCCTGAGAGTTACACTAAAACTTTCAAATCTTTTATCTGAGCTATGTTGTGAATTTAAACGATTGCTACTACTTCCAACCCATACTGTTGTTTGGAGATATAGATATATGTCCTTGTCATAAAATAAAGTCACAAATTAGGACCTTTAGGGAGAAAAATCACTGTACTGACAGTTAGAAAAATGTCTCTGCCCCTGTCCATCAAGAACGGTTACTAGGCCCCATCTGCAAGGCAGGCTCTGATTAGGGAATATTCCCAATCATGCTTTTTAAAAATCCAGCATCATTGCCACACACAGGCAAGCACTCCCCACCATTAATCTTCATTCAAACTGTTAGGATGTTTGTCTAGGATTGACCCAGACCAAGCACTTAGATAAATTAGCTAGAGAAGAGCTTCCGTTTCTCACCACATGTCAAGGCAGGTGGAATACTCTGTTGAGCCCAGGAGGACATCTGGAGGTCTGTACCATAAGGTAACCACTTCATTGGAGTATGTGTGGCTTGGGACCGATTTTGCTCTTGCAAGACCTGCAGGTTACATGAAACATAGAGAAGTTTAATAGGTATTAATGGAACAAGGGAATTTAAGTTTGAATGTTCACAGTTTTAAAAGGTCAAACACGACACTGTAATACAGAATCACGAATTCAGTGTCAAGGTTACAAGAAAGGTCTATCTGTTTCAAACACATGCTAGTAAATCATTTATATGCCTAATAAAGCATCCTGTCTCTAATAAAATCTCAGGAGAGTAAACAAATGATCCATCAATGATTAGATATTACACAGAAGCGCAGAAATTTTCTGGACTTTCCAAAGAATGTTCATGGAGTTCTAGTTCTGGGAGTTATAAATAATGTTACCAGAAAGGCTTCTACGATCAAATCATTTTGAAAAAAAATGGTTTAAAAAGTTAAACAGTACTCCATACAGTGAGACTTCTCAGTGCCCTTAATTTTCCTAATGTGTATTGTGAATCTGAAAGGTGAAATTATGACAGTTTTTTCAAAGGATATTTCAAAAACTTCTTTTGGCTTCAGTGTCTGTCAAGTACTCCCTAGGAAATGCTTACTTAGGAAGCTCATTTGAAAACTATCTAAATAAATAATTATAAAAAAATAGTTAAATACATTAAAATGTATTCTAAGAATTTTTAAAAACTGGGAAAATGGTCACAATAATACGTTAAGTGATAATGTGTATGCAGTTTGACCTCACAACCATAAGTAATTAGGCGTAGAAAAAAAGAACAGGAAATATATTTTTCCAAGTTTTCTATAATAACTATGATTCATTTAAAAATCACAAAATCTAAAATGTTATTTTTGAAAAGAAAAAAATCTCTGTGATAGCTTTCTATCACATGTTCATTAATGACAAGAGTAAAGTATTATTTATCACTGTGATGCTCAAAGCACATATGCATTTTTATAATATTTTACCATAATAAATTCATTTTCTTCTTCCGCTTATTTAAATTTTTGTGTAGTACTTAGAAAAAGGACTTTTTTTCCTGTTTATTAAACACTTGGTATTCCCTTAGTATATTCTATGTAAACATTAAAATTAATAAGACAGCTGGTGAGACAAAGAATTTCTAATTAATTCAACTATGGGTACAGTAACTCAACTGTTCTACAATGCAGTTTTTCTAATAATACAATGGCATATTATAAATTGGTTAATGTTTATAAGTATTCTATGTTAAAATGTACAGATTATAAACATGCATACATACATATATGTGGTGCAGCTTTTTTGCACATAAACAGAATGACTAGTTTTGATAACAGATTTCCGAAACAACTTCTACTTCTTTTTTTTTTCCTTTTAAATTTAGAGTAATTAGACATTTATATACCTTACAAAGTGATCCTCCTGATAAGTCTAGTACCCATCTGCCACCATACATAATAACAATATTATTTACCATATTCCCTATGCTTTATTTTACATTCCCATGGCGATTTTATAACTGGTAATTTGTACTTCTTAATCCCTTTGACCTTTTCTCTGCAAGGGTTTTTCCTACCTCAGTTCAGGCAAAACTGAACAACGGATAGGACAATTAGAGTGGCAGTGTTTCCAGAATTTTGTAATCCCTCAAATGGGCATGTTTCTATACAGAGACCAAAGAGCTACTCACAGGCCTGAAATAGGTTCTGACTAGTTCCATATGCTGTTTTCACGTCAAATGGGATGCCAAAAACACTCAGGCTGGATTCCCTTGGTTTTTCTGAGGCCCTGATGACAGAAAGCGAGGCCAGAGGGACAGGAGAAGGAAAACATCTGAGATTTTCTTTGACAGCTCAGAAAACCAGGCTAGTTATAGAAAATGCTGGTATTTTCAGTTTTAAAGGGAGAGCATGGTCTCAAAATAACATAGAAATAGTATAAATCTAAATAATTATATGTGATTTCAGTTCAATTATGTTCATATAAGTTTATAAAACTGGTTAAATAGATCTGGAAAATATAAATAGAAAAGGCTTTGTCTCCATTAGTTTCCTCCTTCCCACATGTATTGGCCAAGGGCTGCTCAAACTCCCCTCACGAGGGCCACAGAACTTCCCAAAGGAACCGTGAAAATGAGATGTTCATATCCAACTCTTCAGTGTGTTAAGACAGTTTCTTAAAATGATTTGTGTGCAAAGGTATCATATGTGGAAGCATGTTATAGTTTTAAGATACATTTTTCTGCATTGCTTGAGAAAACTCAACGTCTCACTTTAATAAAATCAATTGAAACAGTTTCTTGTGGAAAGTGTCCTGTATATTGATAAACAAAAGGTTTTCACCCTACCAATATGTGTTCAGTTAAAAAGATAAATAAACCTCAAAACTTTTCAGGGAAGGAGCAAATTATTAAAACAATGACTCAAAAAAAGAAAAAGAAAGTACACTTGAGGTAGGAATATATAACTGGACTTTCTATAAATATTTTTGGTAAAGTTATTGCTATGTATTTATACAGTTCATGCATCAAAACACGCTTACTCGTGCAAAATTTATTAAACTGCATCCTGCAGCTGAAGGAAAACTGTAGGACAGGATTAATTAGCCCAGCATGTGTGAAAGCTTTCTTTCTCTGTTCCTTGCCAGTTGCTATGGTTACACTACAGGAAGAGCGCTACACTACCTTTTAAAAAAGATGAAGTTCACGGGTTATTATCAAAACTTCTTACATTAATGTTTAGTGTGAATTAAAAGTTAAAAAGCCAAGTGAAATGCTAACCAGATGAGTATAGGTTACCCGCGCGCTGCTGCTGTGGCTGAATGTGTGCTTTATGAACAGGTGCTTGTTGTTAAGGGCCCCGAAAACAGCATGCATGACACTTTAGAGTATCCAACGGTAAGATGTTACTGTTTCAAACTAATCAAAGACCCTAAAGTAGAGTAAAAAAAATCCTCTTATTCAAGCCTTAGTGCCAATTATTCAAAGATGGGTAACCTTGATACTAGCTATCAGAGCAGAATCTTAGCTTTCTAGAAGAGTTCTGAAGCTTTATAGTTAACCTCTTACCCAATGAAATAATTCCTTTTCATATATCTTTAAGATGGTTATCCAACATCTGCTGCCACCCTTAGCCTGGTTCTACCCTCTTGCTGGCGCAGGGACACAGAATAAATCACATGGCATATGCCCTACGCTGGCCAGTCATTCAGCATCAACCAGCAGAGACTTTCTAGGCCTTACCAGCTCTCTCAGCTGCAATGGACACTGCTGAGCACTCCTCTTCTTTTATTTTTTTTCTCCCCACCGTCCCCTCACTCCTCTTCTTTTAAATCTACTCCCTTGACTTCTCAGATACGGAAGAATCAATAGGAGTGACTTGGTCTCCTTGTGGGATCTTCCCCTACATGCTGGTTTTGTCTAGGGTTATATATTCAAACCAGGGCTTTCTCAAATGTATATACACTCTGTAGGTAACTGTGACTGATGCCATGTTTTAACTGTTACGGACAGGTGATTTCTCATGAGATATTACCCCCAGCTTGCTTCTGCTTGTCCCTGGGCTTCAGATCTGGGTCTATGCAACTCCTCAGCAGACATGGGTACACGGATGTCCTGCAGGCACTCAACACAACCACAACAAGTCCCTACAGCCATCTCCTTCGTTAAGACTGGGGATATGCCATGAGTCCAGGAGTAAATGCATTTTACTAGTAAACTGTTTTAGGTTCCCCAAACAGGAAAAGTTATTTTAGCCGTATACAGATATACATTAGATTTTATATTCACGCACATCTAATCATTCCTTCAAATTCCAATGCATCCTTTTTGCAGGTGGTAAAATTGCTTGGAGACTTTGAGTAATCTCTCAGGCTCTATGGAGAACATCACTAAACCTAGGACAAGTCAAGAATGAAAACGCCCATGTATCCGCTTTGACTAAGGGATTGAAAAAGAACTGGCAACGGTGTCTTGTTTCTTTCTAATAAAGTGGAATAATGGTACAAGCTAGGTGAACTTGTGAAAGTCAACTAAAAATAAGATATAAAGGAGTATCTTTCACCACTCCAGTCTTTCCAGAGGATGGGCCACTGTTTTGTGCTTGTCAATGATTTTGTGTTTTTATTAGAGCAATTCCCACACCTCTCCCGCAACATACTTCATTCCCCAAACCGAACAATTAGAAAAAGATGGTCATGTTCTTAGTTAATCACAAAATCAGTATGTCTAGGCCAGGGTCTCCTTTCTTCATAACTCGAATCCACACAGACATGAATTATTTGGGTAGCAGTTTAACATCTGGCAGTTGGGCTAGAAAGGGAGAACTTCACTATTCCATGAGTCATCCCTGGAGAAGGGCAGAGAAAGGCTTTTATCTTTCTTTCCCATTCCACAGTCCAGGGAGCTTGCCAGGAATTTCTTTTTTCATACCAATTTTTAATGGAGTCCTCTCCGTCCTACAGGATTTATATTAAGTATCTTAGGATGTGCTAAAGCTGTTTGAAAATCTTTTATTGCTGCTCTTAGAGTGCATCAATAAACAACCACCAAACAAAACAAAAGGCAAAGCATTTTCTTCTGGTGTTTTCCCAAGTTCTGGCTTTAACCTTTCCTCTGCACTTGACAGATTTTCCTGGATGATCTTATATAATCCCCTGGTTCCAGTTACTATCTATATGCTGCCTGCCTCAAATACATTATCTCTAGAATTAATCTTCCCCTAAATCTTTAGATTTCTACATAAAAAAAATAGCCACTTAGATCTTCCACAGCTATTTCAAACATTTCTCCTGTCCCCAATTCTCCAACCAGTACTACGCTCTCCAGTGTTCTATAACTCACCACTAACCATCACTATCGATCCATTCACTAAAGCCAGAAGTCTTGTCTCATTGCAGGCTCCTTCCACTTCGAAAATTACAAAATTCAATGGATTTTACCTTTTTTAAAGTCCTCACCTAAGGATATGTTTATTGATTTGAGAGAGAGAGAGAGAGAGAGAAACATCGATCAGTTGCCTCCCGTATGCACACTGAGAGGGGATTGAACCCGAAACCTAGGTACTTGCCCTGACT